AGTGATCAATATCAAGCAGTCACGGCGATCGGCATTAAAATAAAATAAACCATCTTAATTCTTCAATAATCTCACAAACAACTTCTCCACCTTGAAAGAATTATAATAATATTAGATAACAAAAACATAATATTCTTGATCTCCAAAAGAAGGAGGAAATTTATATCTCAAAAGAAAATAGAGTAGAAATATTCTTTGTTAACCTAAATTAATTTCCCTCTTTTTTTTTTTTTTTTCCCCACCATATTTGTGAAGATATAAATTAACCACATCCAATAAGAGAATGACATGCATACTATTAACTCAATATAACGAATTTACTCTTGATGTCATGAGCAGACTACACCAGACCTTAGGAGGCTAAGCATCAACCTGCCCTGTAAGTCTTGGGTATGCATGTCAAGGTGTAGCGGGCTCATAATATTCCCACATCTGCCATCGTGCTTTTCTCGGCTCAAGAAGGTAAGGGTTGACTCTTCAAAGTCTCGCTTGCGTGTCCTACATGGCGCATCAGCCTACCAAGTAGTCTGTGAAATGTGGTTTGCACCATGCTAGCAGAACATAGTGGTTTGCTTGACTGTCTTTCCAATAAATAGTCAGTTTAAATAGGAAATCGATAATCACAATTTACTCACTATATTCAGTTTCTCTCAAAAAATTTTCTAACTTAGGTATCGGAGGCCCTTTGTCAGACACTGACACACCTCGACCCAGAATATCCACTAGGACTTCGAATCAAGTTTTGCTGGCCGACACCTGGAAAGTGACGAAGCTATAAAGTATAATGATGTGCACAATGTGAATAAATTTAAACCTAAAAGTGCCAAAAGACCAAAGTGCACTGCGAGCGGGAACGAGCCCGTTTCACACGCAACGTCAGAGCATAAGTAAAGTACAGTAGTGTGGGTAAGGATCATACCCTCAGAGGTAGCCACCTATACTAAGATTCGCCACAAATCCTCATTGATACGAACTTCCAACAGCTAAAACCTGGAGGGGTGCAAAAACAAGTGTGAATGAGCCTGAAAATAAAGTTTTTAATAAAAACCTTTTGAAAACATTATAACCCCTCGCTATAAAACCCGTATAATTTTCCAGAAAATAATAATACATACATATATAGAAATCATGCTCGAGAGTAGTGAAAACCAAGTATATGCCATGTCAAGTATCTCGGCAATGAAATAAGTAAGCTAGGTTGAATAAATCAATGTAAAATGATATGCCAGCCGGAGTCATCTAATGTGACTTGTACACTTCTAAACCTACACACGAGTCGGAACCATCTAATGTGGTCTGTACGATAGGCTGGGTGTAAATAAATACGCTCAAGTGCTACGATCACATAAAGGTTGTGTGAAGTGTTGCAAGTCACCTATGAGTCGGAACCACCTAATGTGGTATATACGACAAGCTGGCACCTGCCTTGGATCCAAGGTGAGCGTACGATGAACGATCACGTAAAGGCTGGCCCTGACCTCGGGCGGAGCACTAATACCGGGATGCAGGATAATGAGTACCAAATGCATCTAGGCATAACCATGTACATCACAACCACTAACATCATAATGTACTCACCTGTAGCTTACCTGGGCTCTGCAGCATCATGCAACATTACACATGACTACACTAATGCATATACTAAAATATAACGCAAGTATGACATGGCATTTCAATCACATTTCATTTAAAACGATTTTTTGGAAAAACATAAAGTATACACACGTATATATATAGAAAACTAAAAGCCTACTCACCTAGAGTCCGCGCTACAACTCCCTAGCACAACATCAAGGCGTCACGAACGATCGGCGCCTAGAAAAATTATCAAATCATATCTTAGAATTCTTATCAATAGAACATATAACTTATATGTCCTAATTGGGAAGATTCTTACGTCGAATTCCTGATCTGTAAATTTCTAATATCCTTAAATATTACGTATTATAACGTATCAAAGTTTGGTGACAATCCAACGGTCGGATAGTCGATTGCTAAAATAAAGTAACGCACCTTAATCAAACTAGATTCACAATACTCAAATCCACATCATATGGATATCAATTTAGTGTAAAATAGCATCGGCGGCCCATTGGCTACGCGCCACCACCGATGGCGATCGACCGCCCCGTCTTATTGGAAAATTTAACTATTTCTAAAAATTCTCAAACTTCACAGAAATGAAGATCTCAGTGAGTGGAGCAACTTTCATACCTGTGATTAAGGCCAATTTGGCCGGGAAGCACCTCAAATTCCCTTCGATCCGTCGGAAACCCTATAAAAGGTGATTCTTGATTTGTCCTCAAATCGACTCCGACGCTCCAACCAATGATTGGGAATTGTTTCTAGACTCAAGGGAAGTATATTGGTGGTGGCAATTGAGAGAAATCATTGCAGAAATGGTGGATTGCCACGAAGAACACCACGGTGCAGCCGATGCTCTTGTCACGAAACCAGACCAAATCTTGTCCAATTTGTGCAGAAAATCGAAGAGGAATGATCGATGAGAAGTTCCCAAGTAGTGGGTTGGTGCAATTCGCCGGAATTTGACCAGAGAAAGCATCGGATTTCATGCATTTCCACCGAGTTGGGTACGGGTCATGGTGAACTCGGCGGTTCTCCTCCTCCTCTTCTTCTTTCCTTTATCTCCTTTCTCTCTTCCCTGATTGGTCACCCTCACATCTCTCCTCTTCTGATTTACCTCACCTCTCTCTCCTTTCTCTCCTTTATCCTCCATCTCCACCGTCCAACTTTCTTCCTTTTAATCTGGGCCACACACGTGGCCTTCCTGATTTGGCTACAGAAATCTGGAACATTCCAGACGATAACCAATTTACTAAAATGCCCTTAGCTTTAAAGGTTAATATCTCCTTCATTATAATTCCAAATCACAATCCGTTTACGCCCACGCGTTCGTGGCGACGAGTACTATGAGGATACGCCAAGAAATTGAACCTTACGTGACACAACACGGCAGTCAATAAAAGTCAACACTTTGCCTCGAAGAGCATTTTTGTAAATTCACGTTTAAAAATTATAAAAATCGTAATAATTGGGGACGGGTCGTTACTGACACCGTTCTCATGTTTTTCTTGAATGTTCGTCATGTAAGCCAATAATATTATTGTTTTGCAGGTGTGATCGCCCATCCATATTGAGACTAAATTTGCATCCACACTATTAATGGGCTGGACGATTGGAAACTTGGGTGCCTAAGGTGAATTGACCGGATTACTTGGTTGGGAAATGGCACTTTCTTTTTTGCTAAGATCAATCCTCATATATTGATTTCTTTTTGACCAGCTAGTCCATATTGTAAACTATCAAATTAACAGTGGAAGGTTTTCCAACCCAAAACGTAATGCATTATGTAAATCAAGCCTTCGGTCAGCTCACGAGTCAGTCACGTAGTTCATGAAGACGTACATTGAACCTATATGCTCTCCCTGCAATGGTCAATATTGAAATTCAAAAACAATTCAGCGAACCTCGCAACTTGTTGATGGTAGGTGATCGTAAATTAATATAAAGTTCGTTAACCTTTTGAAAACAACAATCAAAATCATGCAGAAATGTATTTTAAGAGGTTAATAACATTCATCTTTACATATATTAAATCCACTTCTTCCAATGTAGTCATGATTATAAAGCAATTGCAATATGGCCGGTGTAGTATAAGGCCCGCACCTTGTGTAAAGGGTTCAAAGCAGTGTATTGGTTAAAACTCAGATGATATTCTTTAAAATTACATACAGTAAGGAAACGAAAATAGTTATATATTTAAACCAAAAGCATGTGTTTGGACTCTTTGGAAATTTAATGATGAAGAAAATAATAGCCTAGCAAGGAAACTGTGGAAATTTTCAGGTCGACGGGCCAAGGGCCCACTCCAACAACACCGATACTGTCCCCACTTAACCACCTGCACAATCCTCAGGTGTGGAGTTTTATCACAAAAGGCCTCGGTGTTAATTAGAGAGGGGTATTTCTATTTAAAGCACTCTTCTCCTCTCCCTCTGTCCGATGTGGGACTGGGGGTTCCAACACTCCCCTGCACGCACGTGAATTTCCACACATCGGCAACCACGTGGAGCCATGTCGGGACTCACCCAATCACGCGGGGCCAATGGGGACCCACCCAAACACGTGGCATCTTTGGCCTACGTGGACAATCACGCGGGGCCAATGGGGACCCACCCAATCACGTGGCAGTACGGGCCCGTCCCCTGGCTCTGATACCATGTGGAAATTTTCAGGTCGACGGGCCGAGGGCCCACTCCAACAACACCGATACTGTCCCCACTTAACCACCTGCACAATCCTCAGGTGTGGAGTTTTATCACAAAAGGCCTCGGTGTTAATTAGAGAGGGGTATTTCTATTTAAAGCACTCTTCTCCTCTCCCTCTGTCCGAAGTGGGACTGGGGGTTCCAACAGAAACGAAAATAATTATGGGTTGTGCTAACAATTTTCTCACTTCTATTCATGCCACATGTATTTTACTAGCATGCATAACTAAAGGTTTAATTAATTTTTGGTTGAAATACTAAAATTTTAATTAAACTAACAAGGGAAGAACAAAACTTTAATATAATTAAAATTTTAGTATTGAGTGATAATGGAGTTCACATTGCATGAGGAGAAATGAGAAGGTAAGTGAGAAAGTTGCTAGCATTTCTCAATAATTACACAAAAAAGCATGAGTTAGAATCTTGTAAATCTAATTAGGTTTAAATTAATGAACAAGTTGATAATATAATAATTGAAGCTTATTGAGCATAGATATATACATAATTAGATGGCATGATCATCCCGACATCCACCAATAGTTTAATTACGAAGTACTTCAAAATCCCATTCAATTTGTCCTTCGTCGCTGAGAAATATTTTGTCAAGACAACTCTCGTATAAAACAAACACAAGTGTGAAGTGATGTAAAATACAAATAATGGCGTGGCACTTTTTGTGAGAATGACACTGCGAATGATATGGTGGGGATTCTCTACCAAAATTTTTCACTTCATCTTCTTAAACGGCTGCAGCTCAATAAAGAACTGTCAAAATTTAAAAAAGAAGAAGGCTGCTCCATGTCTATTATTCTATCAGTTCGTGCGCGAATAAAACGTGATTGATTTTTTTTTTTTTGAACAAAAAAACGTGATTGATTTGAATCACATATTCTAAAATACATTGATCTTGGACCGCTAATATATGCTCAAGTCTCTTTCGTTCCCTGTCCCCCTACTAGTCAACGACTAAGAAAATGGAAAGCGCTCCTCCATATCAAAAGCAAGGACAATCTTAACTAATCATTAACCTAATTAATCCAATGATAATTGGATAACTAAATGCATGATCCCTAAGCTTCAGACCGTTCCTTAATTAATTAGATACTCAACATAAACTTCTGAAACATATAAATAAGCTCATTTAGACACATTTCTAGTTGCCCCCGTGGTTCTAATTTGATTTCCTTCATCTATTATGGCTCGGGTGTGTCCTCAATCTCCCCAAGTTCTCTCTATCTGTCCCTACTCTAATAGTTCATCAAAAAGAGAACCTTATACCATTTGGATGAAATCACTTGTATGCCATACAAATGGTTGCACTGTCTACAATTCCAACGGCAACATTGTTTATCGAGTTGACAACTACGACAAAAAGTGTAGCAATGAAGTTCATCTCATGGATCTCCAAGGCAAAGTTCTCTATACCATACTTAAAAAGGTATAATATAATATGAATAAATATGGTTACGCTTTCTAACCATGAATTCGAGTATTTTATGGTAGTGAAATGCTTTGATTATGCAGAAGTTACAAGCTTTTGAACGATGGGATGGCTATAGAACGAGTAGCTCTTCTAAGGAAAGCAAGGACAAGCCTTGGTTTCAAGTGAAAAGTTATAGTAGAATGCTAATGGGAAGCATAGCTTGTCAAATTACAGTGGAGTGTGACAAGTATTGGATAGTGAAATTGGCAGGGAAGAGTGGTGCTGTGGGATTTAGAATAGTAGACATTGACGGAGATATTGTTGCAGAGGTAAGCCTTGGCTCTCTTAATTAATATTTAATTATATATACCTTATAAGGATCAACCGTTTTTTTATTTATCATTTTTCTGTTAAAAAATTTAACATTTTTTTGGGTGGCTTGTACAGGCAAAGCAGAAGCTATCATCTTCTGGAGTAGTTCTGGGGGACGATGTCTTAACTTTAGAGGTGGTTCCTCATATGGACCATTCCCTTATAATGGCTATTGTGATTGTGTACGGATTGATTTGTCGCAAAATGTAAGTGTGATCACATTATAATTATATATAGCGTGGCTATTTCCAAAGCATGTAAAAGTGCGGCTTCTCATGAGTTACTGTTGTGCTTTCATTACAGCTAGAGATTGTGGTTCTTTGTAACTAATTCATAAATCAACTAGGCCCTTTTACTTCTAGTTGAATGCTATTTGCATCCCACCCGTGGTGGAACCTCCTCGTTCACCCTTTTTATTTAACGAATTTTTCCTGTACACATGATATAATTGGAATCATTCATCTGCTAAATCATTATTTCAAGATAATGTCTATGAAAAATCAAGCAAATTCGAAATCATTTAGTCATGCATATATATAAATTAAATGTTGGTTCACCATGACGATCTTGTTACCAAAACTGTGTTTATTTGATACACATATTGATGACTATATAAACTATCACCAATTTATTTGGATTTTGGTATAGATAATCCTCAAATGATGATTTAGGAGATGACTATATAAACGAAATATTTTTAAATAAAAATGGTGGAATGAGGAGGTTTCACCAACAGTAGGACGCAAGTATTATATAAATTTATAATTGGAACTTTCCAATTACTTAATCTACATTTGAAGATCATCTCTACAAAAAACCACTCGAATAGATATCATTTATGTATCTGATTGTATGAATCAATTTGACGATGTGAATACCAAGTAACATATTCATGATGAATCATCTATTTATTTGATACATCTGAATGACTAAAGGATCTTGGATTCATGTGATTTTTTGTATAGATCATCTTCAACTGAAGATTAAGAAATTGAACGAGTTTCATTATGTAATTTATACGGTAAAAATACGTTATTTGAAGGGGTGGGATATGTGGACATGTGCACTCCTCATTCGGGATGCAAGTATTATCCTTTCTTCTATATCTAAAGATCTATCTAAACATAGAGAGAAAATGAGAAAAATAAAACTTCTGGATGTAAACTATTCTGAATTTCTTTAGTTTTTGGTTTGGATGCACTACAACAAAGTAGCTATTTAGCGAGAAAAATAGTTGTTGCTACAAGTCACCATATGGTTGGATATTTCCATTCCTTTTAGAAACTTACGAGGAATGAGGAAATATATACATACATTTAGGACCTGTTTGATAATCATTTTATTTGTAGTTTTTTATTTATTTATTTTTATTTTTATTGTTTTAGAAACATTGGAGAAATAAAAGAGTAGATACAAAAATCCGACATTAGAATGAGAATATACTAGGCATTCTCAATTCTGATTTCGACCCATGTGAAATTAAGGATGTTTTTTTTCTTTTCGAAATGGATGCTCTCACAGCGCTAGGCCTTGACGACATTCCCCCACTCTTTTTCCAGAAGTTTTGGCACATTGTTGGCCCCGACATCATTACTGCAATCTTATCGGTTCTGAAGTCGGGTAAAATTATGAGAAAAGTTAATTTTACCTACGTTGCTTTGATTCCTAAGCAGAAGCACCCCACGGACATTTGCCACCTCCACCCAATCAGCCTCTGTAATGTCCTCTATAAGGGTATTTCAAAGGTGCTCGTGCTCACCAACTGTCTGAAGCTTATACTCGCTCAACTCATCTCCGAACACCAAAGAGCATTCGTTCCCGGTGGCTAATCTCTGACAACACCCTTTTGGCTTCAGAACTAACCCACCATCTTTTCCGTAGCAAGCGTGGTAAGAAGGATTATATGGTGATGAAACTCAATATGAGTAAGGCGTATGATCGGGTGTAGTGGGTTACTTAAAAGGTGTTTTGACAAAGTTGGGGTTCCCCCAGAAGATGGATTGGCCTCCTAGTGCTATGTGTGTCCACTATTTCCTACTTCTATCTGATTAATGGCTCTCACTGTGGCTACCTACATCCGGGGTGGGGCCTTCGACGAGGGGACCCACTTTGTGCCAAGGGTCTCTCGACCCTATTTTCGAAGCATGTTAGGGAGCAAGCGCTGCATAGGATTGCCATTTGTCTTGGAACTCCCCCTATTAGTCACTGATTCTTCGCGGATGACAGCCTCTTTTTTGCCCGGGCATCCGTGATTGACTGCTTCCAAATCTGCAAAAGAGCTCTGTTTGCTTCAGTAGAAATGTAAAACAACAAGACCAGGTTCTATTGAGTGGCCTCTTGGGTGTGACTCGGGTTGACAAACACGAGAAATACCTCGGCCTCCCCACACTTGTAGGCCTAAACAAGCGGGCATGCTTCTATCACATTAAAGAGCGACTGTGGAAGCGCCTTCAATGATGGAAGAGGCATCTTCTGAGTGTGATTGGTAGGGAGCTGCTTATCAAAATCGTGGGTCAATCCATCCCTATTTATGCTATGCAATGCTTCCTTTAGCCTAAGTATTTCTGCGATGATCTCAACAAAATGGTGACCCGATTTTGGTGGAATGGAACTGACGATTCTAGGAAGTTACATTGGCTTTCCTGGGAGAAGCTTTGCTTTGCACCCCAAAATCCAAGGGTGGCGTGGGTTTTCGAAATATGCATGCATTCAATCTTGGACTATTGGCCAAACAGGGTTGGTGTCTCCTTATTAGGAAAATATTTCTCATTAACTCTATCAATAACTGTTACACTGTAGGTATTTATACAAGTCTATTACAACTCGCAAAGAAAGATTGCTTAATCTCTAAGTATTTTCTCTTCCTGGTGTAATTACATTTGTATCCTTAATATCCCTCCTCAAACGAAACGGGGAAAGTCTCAGTTGAAGTTTGGAACGAAGAAACAGGAATCTGGGCTTGGACAGAGCCTTGGTGCAAATATCAGCAATCTGATCCTGGGAAGCCACAAAATGCACAGAGACTTGATTTGCCAGAACCTGTTCACAAATGTAATGGTAATCGAGCTCGACATGCTTGGTACGATCATGGAAAATGGGATTTTTGGCTAAGGAAAGAGCTGAGATATTATCACACCATAACTAGGGAGAATGGGGTAGAGGATAAGTAAGGTCAGCAAGGAGTTTGCAGAGCCATGTGAGTTCTGCAGCTGTGTTAGCAAGAGAACGATACTCGGCTTTAGTGGAGGAGCGAGCAACAGTAGGTTGCTTCTTTGCACTCCAACTAATAAGAGAATTGCCAAAGTAAATGCAATAACCTCCTGTGGAACGCCTGTCTAAAGAGCAGCCTGCCCAATCTGCATCAGAGAAGGCATGAAGAGATGGAGCCTGAGAACACTTAGAGAACCATAAGCCCAGGTCAAGAGAACCCTTGAGATAACGTAGAATGCGCTTCACAGCTTGCATATGGGAGATCCGAGGAGTGTGCATAAACTGGCAAACCAAATTAACAGCAAAACTGAGATCAGGTCTAGTCCAGGTTAGGTACTAGAGAGCACCAACGAGAGACCGATATTCAGAAGCATTGTCAAGGAGAGGAGAAGTGTGATCAAGCTTAGTGGTACTGAGAGGAGTGGTGCAGGGCTTGGCACCTTCCATGTTTGCCTTGGTCAGAAGATCTAAGGTATACTTAGTCTGATTTATAAAGATACCTGAAGAGGACCGTTTTACTTCGATGCCAAGGAAGTAGTGAAGAGCACCAAGATCTTTGATGGGAAAAAGAGCACTAAGATGAGATATAACTTGTTGACAGGCTGCAGAGGAAGGGCCAGTCACTAAAATATCATCCACATAGACGAGGATGAACACCAAAGTGGGAGAGTGCTTGACAAACAGCGAGTGATCACTTTGAAAGCCTTGGAACCCAAGAGAAGATAAAGCCGTATGAAGTTTAGCATACCAGGCGCGAGGGGCCTGTTTTAAACCATAAAGAGACCGGTGAAGATGACAAATATGATGTGGTTTAGCTGGATCTTCAAAGCCAGGTGGCTGTTGCATGAATACAGATTCAGTGAGAGTGCCATGGAGAAAGGCATTGTTGACATCGAGCTAATTGAGGAACCAATCATATTGAGCAGCAAGAGTGAGAAGGAGGTGAATGGTGACAGGTTTAGCTACTGGACTAAAGGTTTCAGTGTAGTTTAAGCCCTCTTGCTGGTGAAAGCCTTTTGCAACTAAACGGGCTTTATACCGATCAATAGAGCCATCGGGTTTTCGTTTGATCCGAAAAACCCATTTACAACCCACAAGATTTGGAGAAGAAGAAATAGGGATAAGGGACCAGGTACCAGTGTTGGTAAGGGCAGTAAACTCTTCTTGCATTGCTGTGCGCCAATGGGAGTATTTGGAAGCTTGGGAGTAAGTTGTAAGAATATAGTCAACAGCAAGATGGGGAAGAATAGGATGCTTAGTGGCAGTGAGGGCTTTAGGTTTAAAAATGCCGGATTTGGATCGTGTTTGCATGGGGTGAAGGTTGGTGGGTGCTGGAGACTGTGAGGAATTGGAAGGTGAGGGATCTGCAGGAGGGGATAATGAGGCAGGGTGGGAGGAGAGAGATATGGATGGGGAGAAAGGTGCAGGATTCACAGAAGAAGAGGGAGATGGGGATGAGGGTGAGGAAAGAACATGAGGTGAGGGGAGAAAGGAAAAAGTAAGAGAAGAGGGGATGGAAGATTGGGAGGAGGAAGAAGGAACATTAGGAGATGAAGAGGAAGGCAAAGAATGAAAGGGAAAATTGGATTCATCAAAGAGAACATGGCGTGAAACATAAATTCTATGAGTGGAAGGATGAAGACAGAGATAGCCCTTATGATTTAGGCTATACCCCAAGAAGACACAGGGCTTGCTTTTAGGGTCGAGTTTGGAGGATGTGTATGGCTTCAACCAAGGAAAGCAACGACAACCAAAGACCTTGAGAAAGTTATAATCTGGGGTTTTCTTGAAGAGAGACTGCCAGGGAGAAGGTCGGGAGATAGTAGGTAGCCTGTTGATTAGATAGACAGATGTAGCGAAAGCCTCAACCCAATAAGTATGGGGCACTTTAGATGCTGCTAAGAGAGTCCGAGCAGTCTCAACTATGTGCCTGTGCTTACGCTCAGCACACCCATTCTGCTCAGGAGTGTGAGGACAGGTGAGTTGATGTTGAATTCCATAGCTAGATAAGAACTGAGAAACAGCAGTGCTAACAAACTCTCCACCAGAATCTGAGCGTAAGGCAATAACCTTGGAACACAGAGAGTTTTCAACAAGTAATTTCCATTGCTTAAACACAGTAAGTACATCAAAT